TATCGAAGCTAAAAACACATTATAGTAAAATTAATACCTTCTTAGCTTCGCATCGAAGCTAAAAGGGTAGTGTATAACTCGTTTAGCTGCACTACAGTCTAGGTTGAATCGTGCTCTACGTATTGTTCATCAAGTAAGAGCTCAGATTGAGTAGAATTAGAAAAAATAAAATAAAATACAACACATAATAAAACTAATGTCTTCTCAGCTTCCCAACGAAGCTAAAATATTGTTAAGCCTACAATTTTTATAAATAGAGAATATTCGTCTTCCGGTATCCACCGACCTCCAAGCATAATATTACTGATAATGCTCGGCGATTATACGTTCGAAAATCGGCTCAACCAAAGTAAAATATTACCATAATATAAAATATACAAAAAGGAAGAGCGACAACTTTTTGTTGTATTACAACTATTTATAAGAAAAATTAATTATTTTATAATAACATAATTGCAATATTTTATAAAGTCATGAATAAAAAATCAATATTAAATATTTTATAAATAATTAATCAAAATATAAAGACAAATCATTGAAACCTAAATAATCATAATCATTTTTCACAACCTTTAAAAAAAATGATTCCAAATAATCACACATAAAATGATGAAATATACTATATTCTGTTAAGGTATTGGTTTTAATCAATTGTTCAAATGTTGTAATTATGTCTATTTCATATTCTATAATTTTGCAATATTTCATGTTGTATTGATTTACGTCATAAAATTTTCTCAGTAAAACAGAAGTATGAACTTGTGCTAGGTCTTCAAGGAATGATTGAGCTTCATAAAGTCCACCATTAATAAATAACAATGTGGAAAAATACTTTTTTCTAACATCATTAAGAAATTCAATAAAAATCTCTACCAGTTTCTCTATTAATAATTCTTGACGCATATATTGTTTATCTATTGTGTAGTGTCTCAAAGTAATGAGAGCAAATAACATTTTTCTAAACATATCATCGGATAACATAAGTGTTTCATAAAGCTTAATCGCACAATTAATTTTATTTTCATATTTACAAGCATTAATTATATGTTCCAACATTACATTAAAATTACGAAGTATTTCAATATAGCGACATCTTAAAATAAGTGCAAGATACGACCTCATGAAATTATAATTATTCATATCAACTATTTGTAAAATATCTTTAAAATACAGTGGTATTCCTTTTGTAAATTCAGTTTCAACAGCTATATGTTTCCATGACATCCAACCAGCGTAAGATAATAAATGATTACACAAATCAATACCTTCATTATTGCTATAATTCTTACTTTTGAAATAAATATACCTGTATAGAAAAAAAAGTTATGTATGATAGCTCAAAATTATTATCATAAAAAATTTACCTTTAAAAAAATAAGTGACTATTATGATGTTTACAAAATTAAATTCTTAAATTTAGGCAACTAAACTATAAATCTTACTTGAACGTATATGTTCTGTGTAATTGTTCAAAGCCTAGTTTTGAGTAACAGTTTTCAGTTCTATCCAAAATATATAATTCAAGATCATTATGAATATTATTAATATAATCGTAGGAATTCTCTACCAGTTTTTCCTTTTGATCAATATTATATTTCTTCATTAAATTGAATAAAATAGAACTTTTATATTCTGTCCCACACACTTTTCTAATATTGTAAAGATTTGATATCACTAATTTAGCTTTTTTATTGAAATCTTTTATATTTTCAAAAGTACTGACCCATCTATCAATACTAGATATATTATATATTGAGTCATTGCTTAACTCTAATGTATATTTGTAAAAATAATTTATTTCAGAATCTACAGTTTTAATATTAAGAATAGGCGAGTCTATAATTCGTAGATCGATTTTATCGAGATATTTTGCTGTTTTCAACATTTTTTTAAACATATTTACTGAACAATTGTAAATATTAAAAAGAAGCTTTGTGCAATATTTCAATTCCACACATTGATTGTTTAAAACAGTCACTTCACACTTATTTAAAATAAGGCCTAACATTGCATTAAAAGTTTGCAATATATTAGTAAATTCACAATTTAAGAGACAAGTTATGAAGTAGAGTTTTTGTATAAAGTTATTTTCATCGATAATTTCACTTGTGATGCTTATGGTGTTAATTGAGAAGTGATCAAGTTTAATTTCTGTTTGTTGAATTGAGTCCCATCCATTTTGAACACGAATGTGGTTTAATGAGTTAATAAGATATTTTTTAAAATTTCTACTTTGAGAATCACAATATACATTTATAATTTGACTTACTTGCCAATATAAGAAAAACTCATATAAAATAATTTTTTTAAACATGTTTTTTTAATTTTATGAGACGAAATGTATTATATTATATATCTATGAATAAAATAATTTAAAATTCTTTTTTAAATAACTGTTACTTTATTGAATAGAAAAAGAACGATATAATTTTTTTTATAATAATTTTAACTGCAATTGGTGATTTGTTTAATATTTAATGACTGTCTAAATGTGTTTCTATAATGTAAAATATTTTTAGAAATATTTATGACGTAGATATATATATATATATATAGAAATTTATGTTCAAATTGCTTTAAAATTCATTGTCATAGAAATGGTTAAAAATTAAAAAAATTGTATTAATTTAATTTTTAAATTTGAAATTTTTATTTCAATTAATTATTTTAATTGACAATTTCTAACATACTTTTTAAACGTCTATAGACAGTCAAAAAAATAAAAATTTAAAAAATTGTCAAACATTAAATTTATAAGAATCAATAATTGTATTATTTATGTCATAAGGCGAAAGTGAAACATGTAAAGTAAAGGGGATTGTCGTAAAAGTTATGTGAACATTTAAAAATTACTGTTTTTTGCGTTTCGTAAATAGAATAGAACTATTCGAAAACTGACACTTTATATCCATCGAGCTATTAAATTTGTGAGTGTGTGTGTGTGCGACAAAAGTCATGGTTTGACTACAGGTCCTTTAGTCAATTTTAACAATTAGTGTGGATGCTGGCTAGTTTTTGGGCTTAACTGTTCTTTAGTAGATATAGTGAAACGGTAGCTGTGCTGATGGCTGCCAGGCCAACCTTAATTCTGCTACTTTTGAGCTAGACCCTGCTGACGGATCTTAACTATACACCTTTAGTAGTTCACTAATTGGACGGATTGGGGGTGACCAGTGTATTCAACGAGAGGTCTTGAGAAGAGCAAAAACGTCGAACTTGTCATTTAAGATATTGGTTATTATTAAGCACTATTTTTGTGTCTACGTTGGGGTATTACCGACTTACGACATATATCGGAGCCCAACTCGATGTTCTTACTGACAAGATCCCTCGATGTTTTTTCCTCTTTTAGTTGTATCGAAATTTACATGTGCTTGTAATTTCGCGTCAATAAGGTGATACGTCAATCACTGCAGTACAATGATTAACTGGAACCATAAGCCAGAAGACCCATGGTTAGTGCAAAATAGAAATATATAATATTATTTAGTTATTAAATTTTATCATTCAATAATCTCCCTCGAGAGAGGAAAAAATTGTGTCTATGTGTGTAATTTTAGACATAGAGGAAAAATTAAAAGACATTTTTGGGGATAAGACTTATTTATAATTAGACACATTAGCTTTCGACATAATATTTCCTGATCAGGAACTTATCAATATTTCAGACAACGGAATATTAAAATGGATTGACCTATTTAATGAACTGACCAAAGAAATAAAACTTAATAAAAAAACACTCACTGTTCAATAAAATGTAGAATATAAAATGTGACTGATCAATAAATAATGCAACGCAACATTAATTCTTAATATTAATACAAATGAATGGGGATAATGGAATAGAATGACATGGAATGAATTAGAATGAAGTAGAATTATGATAGGAATAACACAAGTGTGTAATTAACGCATATTAAACCATCACTGACCGTTGCCCTAAATCCCTTGGTCTGCACATTTCTGTGCCCGCTGACAGTCTAACGACCATGTATTTTATACTCTACGGCGTAGAGTCTACGCATTTACAAAATAATACTCAAGGGCTCTCAACATCAATTTTATCACTCTGAGTAGTAAATTTATTACTTAAATTCTGGATTAACCACGCAGTTAATGTAAGAGGTAGGTCCTAAGAAATATTTAATTAAAAAAAAAAACTCAATACTACCTTTTCCAATAAAATGTGAATGTAGTGACGTAATGCAAACATTCTATGTAATTTTAAGTCTTGTTTTAAATAAGTGTAAATTTAAATATTTAAAAAAAAAATATGACGAATTAATTTATTGCACTAGTAGTAATGGTATGATGCGTTTTGGCCCTCAAAGGTGCCGACAATGACGTCACCTATTGTTTTCGTAACAATGGGCTATTGTTCTCGGAGAACAATGGGTGCACAGCTGAGATGCACTCCGCGCTGGTGACGTCACACTGATTGTGTGACAACCCAAGGCAAACCAGTGGCGATGACGTCAAAATGACGTCGTATACGACGGTGTAAGCCAAGTTAGCGTGAGGGTGCCATTAGTGATGATGTCAAAATGACGTTACCTATGGGAGTCCCCTTCGGGTGACGATTGTCATGCCGCCGGGGCCCCAGAGAAAGTGTTGACGTCGCACACTGTGTACGCTGGAACCCAGCCCTAGCCGACCATAATATTATTAATTAATGTATATTAACTAATTATTTAATAAAATTAA